TACTATATAGAGGGAGCAAGTAGCTACAAGAAGTACAGTGGGGCATTAAGCGCCTTATAATGGTAGCTTGGCTAAAGCTGGGGTAATAATACGATTGCAGGGCTCTCAGGGAGCACAGTATCAATACTAATGAGGCTACCCTGGGTAGTAAAATGAGTAAAATCCCAAGTTTTTGAAGCAGCGTATTTTTAATGCAAAAGAGACTATTGAGAGGGTAAATTAAAATTGTATTCTTAAATACATGTAATTCTGCAGAAGATGTTTTGAAGAGGTTGAGTCCTAGGAAGAGGTGAAAAATAATTTGTGAGCGTTATCATTGTTATTATCCAAGTGTGGAAGAACATCAGATAACAAATGTTCCCTGAAAAGCATGGCTCTTCAAATGCCTTAATATTCTAAATATGCCATGTAACAGCATTAAAATTAGGACAGATTTTTAGGCCGCACGTTCGTGTAGTTCCATATACATATTTCTGTGTACAGTGCTTGTAACTTTACCAAGACTGGGTCAAATTTCTTATCAATTTGATGATTCCAGAACCTTGCAGTACACACCAATACTTATATGCTAGATGATCAACCTTTCTGATCGAATTCACACCATTACTTTAACAATGCAATCGCATGACCAGAACTCAACTTAATCTTTAAGTACATGTAGTTCAGCAGAAGATGTTTTAACTCAGATAGATCTGCAATTCTGCATGCTAACAAGGTAACGTGACTGGATACAGCAAGCAGCTGATATGCTCCAGACATAATACATGATGGACCTCATAGAGATTGACCTGGGAAATACATGAAGCTGACCTGGAAGCAAACTACATAGTGCAATTCCCAGGTCAGTGTAAACAAGGAGGCAGACAGCTGACTAGTCTACAGGAACAGACTCTAGTATGACGGTTCAAAACAATTAACATGATGGAGCTCAAAGAGGTTGACCTGGGAAATACATGAAGCTGACCTGGAAGCAAACTACATGTACATAGTGCAATCCCCAGGTCAGTGTAAACAATGAGGCAGACAGCTGACTATTCTGCAGGAACATACTCTAGTATGACAGTTCAAAACAATTACATAATACATGATGGAGCTCATAGAGGTTGACCTGGGAAATACATGAAGCTGACCTGGAAGCAAACTACTCTGTGCAATTCCAGGTCAGTGTAAACAAGGAGGCAGACAGCTGACTAGTCTGCAAGAACAGACTCTGATATGACGCTTCAAAACAATTACATAATACATGATGGAGCTCATAGAGGTTGACCTGGGAAATACATGAAGCTGACCTGGAAGCAAACTACAAAGTGCAATTCCCAGGTCAGTGTAAACAAGGAGGCAGACAGCTGACTAGTCTGTAGGAACAGACTACATGTAGTATGACACTTCAAAACAATGCTATAAAGTCTGGAGTTAAGCATAGCCATGTAAGAGTCTGGCTGTGTCAGGAGACCTGCTATAGTAGAGGTATCGTGGTCGAGTGGATATGTCACCGGACTGTAGATCGCAAGGTCCGAGGTTCAAGTCCTGCCACTGCACTAATGTCCTTTGGCAAGACATTGATCTACATGTACATTTGCCACTCCGATGACAGGGGTAATAATATATATCTGTAAAGCGTTGCGATAGGGCCTGCAGTCCTGAAAAGCGCTATATAACTTATAAGAACAAGCTATTATTATTGTTATTATAGTATAGGGCCTACGAGGTGCAGTAGACTGTGTAGGTTTTATAGTCTTACAAGTTCAGACACAGTGTTTGGTACTATGATAGACAAGTGTCTGTGGCTGCAGACTACCGGCTGACTGCCATGGGTGTGCATTAAGACCTTTGTGCGGAATGAAGAACCCTGAAGTAGAAGGTGTGAGAAGTGATGATGTTGATAGGGTGAATGGTTGCTAAGGAGGAGGGGGAGAGATGGAGAGGGGGAGAGATGGAGAGGGGGAGAGATGGAGAGAGATGGACAGGAGGAGAGGGGAAGAGATGGAGAGGAGGAGAGATGGAAAGTGTGATGATGAGATGATTGTTGAAATAGAATGATACGGGTGGTTGGTTTGAATCAAAGAAAGAAAAAAGGATGAGATTATTATCTTAATGAGAGTGATTGTGGGGGGAGGGGGTGAGGTATATCGTAAGAGGGGGAAAGATGGAATGATTAATGGTGGTTTTCTTTAAAGGTATAGACCAGTTTTGGAAACGCCCCCCTCTCAAAAAACGAAATGGAAGCTCTTATTACCAATCATGTGAAAGAATATGTTTTGACTAACCGCCTACTAATTGATATATTTGGTAAATTATTATATCTATCCAGACTGGATAGATATCGTGCACGTGTCGCATAGTCCCATATACTTCTTTCTGTGTACAGTGCTTGTAACTTTACCAAGACTGGGCCAAATTTCTTATCATTCTGATGATTCCAGAACCTTGCGGTACACACCAATACTTATATGCTAGATGATCAACCTTTTTTGATCGATTCCATAACGTTTCTTTCACAATGCAATCGCATGACCAGAACTGGTCTTTATCTTTAATGATAATGATGGTCATGATATTTATGATGTTGTTAATGATGAAGATCCAACCATAGTCAAGATGAAGATTGCGATGGTGATGATGATGGTGGTGATGATGTTGATGATGATGATGGTGATGGTGACGATGATGGTGATGATGATCGTGATGATGGAAATGATGATGGTGATGGTGGTGGTGGTAGCGATGATAATGATGATGATGATGATGATATCGATGATGATGATGAGGAGGAAATGAAAATGGAGGAGCAGAAGATGATGATGACCATGAAACATTTGCAATAAAAATAAAGCAAAAACAAGAATAATCTTATACAGTAGGCTTGTGGTTGCACCATGTGAGAGAGAGGCGCATTTGTAAATATCGACAAAATATATGAACAACACAAAATTTCCTCTGAACATATCCAGGCACACTTCCAGGTACCTATCCATTTAAACTTTCCTCTCACATCAATTATTCGAAGCAATGACAAATAAACAAACAATGGAGCTGATAGAGAGAGAGAGAGAGAAAAAAAAACAGAGAGACAGAGAGGGAAGGAGATGCACAAGACATACATGTACCGTTAACAAATATAAATTATTCATACCCTTGCCATGTTTTGTAATGTCTAAGCTAGTACATGTGAAAATTTGATTTTGTCTCAATGTATGCTTCTCGATAATGTGACATATTAAAGGGATCGTTTAACAATGTTAAATCTGAGATGCACGACCCTACGTGTTATCAGTGTCTGTGATATGGTGTAATATTGAAGCCCTAACAAAAAAGTGCTTCAAAATGATCAAGAAGTGCCTCAAGAAAGTAAAAATCTTTGAGTGACCGGTTTTACCAGACTGTAGTGTGTAAACGGTTTTCAAAATTTGTAATTCCGATCATAAATATCTTGATAATCCGACATGTGATTGGCTTGTAAAAGTCATGGAGTTCTTGACTGACCTAAAGGTTTATAATTATCATTGCAGCATGAGCTAAATCCAGAACTTTGTTTCAGAATCTGAGACAAAGTTACCGGCTCCCTTTAAAGCTTACAGATTCAACAGAGGCTCTAATGTAACCAGTCTACCTCTCATACTTGAATATGAAAACACAAAAAACATCAAACTTACAAGGGGTATGAATAAATCAGTTGTTAACCATATGTACACTGTACCTGGGAGGAGAACCCTGGGTAATAAGACCCTCAAAAGTACAGCTCTCCAGACAGTGACGCCTCACAGCATGTCTGATGTACCTGTCTCGCTCCTAGCTACGGAGGTATTTATTGTCTCTCCTGCTACAGCCCTTTGAAAAGCTTTGAATGTTGTCTCTCTCCATTTCCTCATGTATTTAAATCCCTTCACTTTTGTATACTTTCTCTTTCTCTTTTCATCACACTCCTTCTGTATCCTTTTCTCTCTCTCTCTCTCTATCTTCTCTTCTCCCTCGCTCTATCTTCTCTTCTCCCTCGCTCTTCTCTCTCCCTCTCTCTTTCTCTCTCTTCCTCTCTCTCCCCTCTCTCTCTCTCCCTCCCTCCCTCTCTTTCTCTCCACCTCCCCCCTCTCTCCCTCTCTCTCTCTCTTTCTCTCTCTCCCCTCTCTCTCTCTCTCTCTCTCTCTCTCTCTCTCTCCCCCTCTCCCTTCTCTGCTCTTGATCATCACATTTTCTCCTCTTTCTTTCACTTCATCACCTGTACTCCTTTCTTCTTCTATTACTTAGCCCAAAAACGACTCAACATAAAAAGCAAAAAAATGCAGCTACGCTCAAGAAACATAATGATGTAGTATTCACAGTATTAAACAAGTACAATGTAATCATATATTTTGAGGAGGGAGGCTTCCAAAGAAATCTTCTAAACTTTTGGTTCATACCCTGATACATACATGTACACAGGTAATAAGCAGAATTAGTGTTATTTCATTTCGCTTTAAAGGTAAAGACCAGTATTGGAAACGCCCCAATTTCAAAAATATGAAATGGAAGCTCTCATTACCAATCATGTGAAAGAATATGTTTTGACTAATACATGATGATAACAAATTTGCCGGGAAACCGCCTACTAATTCATATATTTGGTAAATTTGTTTCTCTCATGGTCTGTGAGAGATATAGGGTAGTCCCATATACATCTTTCTGTGTATAGTGCTTGTAACTTTACGAAGAATGGGCCAAATTTCTTATCATTTTGATGATTTCAGAACCTTGCAGATTCTATATGCTAGATGATCAACCTTTTCTGATCGATTCCACGTTTCTTTCACAATGCAATCGCATGACCATAACTGGTCTTTACCTTTAATATTCTTTTCATTGTGGTATATCACATGAAAAAGAGTACAACATTTTGTAAAACAGGACCTAACATGTGTACATGCACTTACATGTACACTTGGGGACAATTAAAATAATGTACTCTAGTTTAATACTGCTACAGCTCAAGATTAGCATGCAGTTCACCTATTTCGCACAGCACTTACCTAGAAACTCATTAAACGCACTGACCTCCCTGGGAAGGCCTACGTTATTGAAGCTTCCCGCATGAATGAACACGTCGCCGGGCGGGACCACCTTGCTTAGATACGTCGTCTTAGAGAAGGTATCTGATGTGCATACAAACCTTGTGTGACCTTTGACATCCATGAATATGCATGAGGAGGGGAATAGGGCAAGGGGTAGAAAGAAGGCTCTGGTGTAAGTGCAGTGTAGAGGTATATACCGCGACATTATCTATTATCACCTCACTGATACATGTTTTGTACACAAGACCAAAGGCAAAGCTAGTCTACAAAGATTAGAGGCATCACAATACAAGGGGATAGGAACAAGCGCACTTTCACCAAGAGATACATGATAGAATAGCGAACACCGCACACAAAAAAGCACAATAAAAGCAAAAGAAGCAAAATTATGAAAGTAAGTACTGCAAACATAGAACATCTTGTAATACACAGATTTGTCTGCATCTCTCTCCAAAACAATCTCTAGCATTTCCATCTAAAAATATTATGCATTTCCAAAGTATACTTTGTGTCTCTATTTGTAAAAGACATTTTTTAGTGTATGAAAAGTACGTATTTGACCGGGACATTAATTTATATTTGATTTGCCACTCTTCATCCAGGTGTATTAGATGGTTATTGTACTACCTGGTACCTCTTCAGGGCAATAAATTCCAAAGCCCTTCAAGTGAACATCTACATTGTAGACACATCACACATTATACAAAAATGGAATACTTTCATGCTTACTGTTATTGTTGAGAGTCTTAATGCAGACAAATTCTTGCACAAGAATCGTCCATGTTTGCAGAACTTGATTGCGGTGCAACCGGACAACTCACCTAAAAAGTCATTGAAGTTTTTCACCTCTTTCCTCCGGCAGATTTTCGTGAAGTCGCCGGCGTGAATGAGTACATCACCATCGGGAATGTCAGGTATACGATCGGTCTTGGAGTGTGTGTCCGATATACACACAAACCTCACATGGTCTGGCACAACAATAAACACAAATATGTAAACAAACAACAATTAATCTATGATCTAAGCGTTTTCATGCTAAGCAGGTATCGAACATGCGTTTTCACTATACAGCACTAAAAAATAAACAATACACAGATCTAGCAATTTAACACAAAACTAAAGGTGAACATAAAAATCACATTTAGTGTGGAATTTGGTTTTTGACAAATACCCTTGTATTTTTTTCAATTTCAAAAGAAACATATCAGGCTAACAATTCTAACCCCAACTTTCACTGTACAAAATAAAGAATACAAAAAATTACATGAACTGTACATTACACTGTACCTGTACAATTAAACTGCATGACTTGTCGGTGTCATATACATGTACATGTAGTGTACTGTACATGTACAGTGTACATGTGAATGTACATGTAGTATGAAATATAATTGTTCATCAAACAAGCTCTTTTTAAAATCTTCTTTGGTAAAGTTAGATCACTATTAAGTCACAAACACGCAACCAAAAAATGGATCTTATTGTTTTAGTTAAAGCTCTTTAAAAAATCCCACACTTTTATGGCTTTCCCAATCTAAATCGCTTATAATTTCCATATATTTTTCTTTACACTGATATTCTGTTAGCAAATAAGACCTTGAGAGCTTAACAGCCTTTTATGTTTTCCTTATCCAAGAATAATTATATGGCAAGTAATCCAACGTGAAAGCCCAACAATGATACTTGACAGATTACTCATTTGTATGTTTTCGCTTCTTGTCATTGCTTTGAAAAATTTCTTTCTAAGATGTTGATTGGGAAAAAGGGTGGCATGAGCAGTTGTAGAAGAATTTATTTATTTATTTATTACTATCATAATATAGATTTTGGGGGAGAGGGCCATTCGCTAGGTTTTGTTTGAACGAGGGAGAGGGCCATTCGCTAGGTTTTGTTTGAACGAGGGAGAGGGCCATTCGCTAGGTTTTGTTTGTACGAGGGAGAGGGCCATTCGCTAGGTTTTGTTTGAACGAGGGAGAGGGCCATTCGCTAGGTTTTGTTTGTACGAGGGAGAGGGCCATTCGCTAGGTTTTGTTTGTACGAGGGAGAGGGCCATTCGCTAGGTTTTGTTTGAACGAGGGAGAGGGCCATTTGCTAGGGTTTTTTGTGGGGGGAGAGGGCCATTTGCTAGGGTTTTTTGTGGGGGGAGAGGGCCATTTGCTAGATTTTTTGTGGGGGGAGAGGGCCATTTGCTAGGGTTTTTAGTGGGGGGAGAGGGCCATTTGCTAGGGTTGTTTGTTGGAGGGAGAGCGCCATTTGCTAGGTTTTTCTGGGGGGAGGGCCATTCGCTAGGTTTTGTTTGTTGGAGGGAGAGGGCCATTTACTCGTTTTTTTTTGGGGGGAGGGCCATTCGGTAGGTTTTGTTTGTGGGAGGGAGAGGGCCATTTACTTGTTTTTTTTTTTTGGGGGGGGGGGAGAGGGCCATTTGCTAGGTTTTGTTTGTTGGAGGGAGAGGGCCATTTGCTCGGGTTTTTGTGGGGGGAGAGGGCCATTTGCTAGGGTTTTTTGTGGGGGGAGAGGGCCATTTGCTAGGGTTTTTTGTGGGGGGAGAGGGCCATTTGCTAGGGTTTTTTGTGGGGGAGAGGGCCATTTGCTAGGGTTGTTTGTTGGAGGGAGAGGGCCATTTGCTAGGTTTTTCTGGGGAGAGGGCCATTCGCTAGGTTTTGTTTGTACGAGGGAGAGGGCCATTTGCTAGGGTTTTTTGTGGGGGGAGAGGGCCATTTGCTAGGGTTTTTTGTGGGGGGAGAGGGCCATTTGCTAGGGTTTTTTGTGGGGGGAGAGGGCCATTTGCTAGGGTTGTTTGTTGGAGGGAGAGGGCCATTTGCTCGGTTTTTCTGGGGAGAGGGCCATTTGCTAGGGTTTTTTGTGGGGGGAGAGGGCCATTTGCTAGGGTTTTTTGTGGGGGGAGAGGGCCATTTGCTAGGTTTTGTTTGTGGGAGGGAGAGGGCCATTTCCTAGGGTTTTTTGTGGGGGGAGAGGGCCATTTGCTAGGGTTTTTTGTGGGGGAGAGGGCCATTTGCTAGGGTTTTTAGTGGGGGGAGAGGGCCATTTGCTAGGGTTGTTTGTTGGAGGGAGAGCGCCATTTGCTAGGTTTTTCTGGGGGGAGGGCCATTCGCTAGGTTTTGTTTGTTGGAGGGAGAGGGCCATTTACTCGTTTTTTTTGGGGGGGGGAGGGCCATTCGGTAGGTTTTGTTTGTGGGAGGGAGAGGGCCATTTACTCGTTTTTTTTGGGGGGGGGAGAGGGCCATTTGCTAGGTTTTGTTTGTTGGAGGGAGAGGGCCATTTGCTCGGGTTTTTTGTGGGGGGAGAGGGCCATTTGCTAGGGTTTTTTGTGGGGGGAGAGGGCCATTTGCTAGGGTTTTTTGTGGGGGAAGAGGGCCATTTGCTAGGGTTGTTTGTTGGAGGGAGAGGGCCATTTGCTAGGTTTTTCTGGGGAGAGGGCCATTTGCTAGGGTTTTTTGTGGGGGGAGAGGGCCATTTGCTAGGGTTTTTTGTGGGGGGAGAGGGCCATTTGCTAGGGTTTTTTGTGGGGGGAGAGGGCCATTTGCTAGGTTTTGTTTGTGGGAGGGAGAGGGCCATTTGCTAGGTTTTTCTGGGGGGAGGGCCATTCGCTAGGTTTTGTTTGTACGGGGGAGAGGACCAGTTTGCTAGGGTTTTTTGTGGGGGGAAAGGGCCATTTGCTAGGGTTTTTTGTGGGGGAGAAGGCCATTTGCTAGGGTTTTTTGTGGGGGGAGAGGGCCATTTGCTAGGGTTGTTTGTTGGAGGGAGAGGGCCATTTGCTCGGTTTTTCTGGGGAGAGGGCCATTTGCTAGGGTTTTTTGTGGGGGAGAGGGCCATTTGCTAGGGTTTTTGTGGGGGGAGAGGGCCATTTGCTAGGGTTTTTTGTGGGGGGAGAGGGCCATTTGCTAGGTTTTGTTTGTGGGAGGGAGAGGGCCATTTGCTAGGTTTTTCTCGGGGGGGGGGGGGGAGAGGGCCATTCGCTAGGTTTTGTTTGTGGGAGGGAGAGGGCCATTTGCTCGGTTTTTTGGGGGGGAGGGCCATTCGGTAGGTTTTGTTTGTGGGAGGGAGAGGGCCATTTACTCGTTGTTGTTTTTTTGGGGGGGAGGGCCATTCGCTAGGTTTTGTTTGTTGGAGGGAGAGGGCCATTTGCTAGGTTTTTCTGGGGGGAGGGCCATTTGCTAGGTTTTTTTTGTGGGAGGGAGAGGGCCATTTGCTCGGTTTTTTTTTGGGGGGAGGGCCATTCGGTAGGTTTTGTTTGTGGGAGGGAGAGGGCCATTTACTCGTTTTTTTTTTGGGGGGGGGAGGGCCATTCGCTAGGTTTTGTTTGTTGGAGGGAGAGGGCCATTTGCTAGGTTTTTCTGGGGGGAGGGCCATTCGCTAGGTTTTGTTTGTCGGAGGGAGAGGGCCATTTGCTAGGGTTTTCTGGGGGGAGGGCCATTCGCTAGGTTTTGTTTGTTGGAGGGAGAGGGCCATTTGCTAGGTTTTGTTTGTTGGAGGGAGAGGGCCATTTGCTCGGTTTTTTTGGGGGGGAGAGGGCCATTTGCTAGGTTTTGTTTGTGGGAGGGAGAGGGCCATTTACTCGTTTTTTTTTGGGGGGGGAGGGCCATTCGCTAGGTTTTGTTTGTTGGAGGGAGAGGGCCATTTGCTAGGTTTTTCTGGGGGGAGGGCCATTCGCTAGGTTTTGTTTGTTGGAGGGAGAGGGCCATTTTGCTAGGTTTTTCTGGGGGGAGGGCCATTCGCTAGGTTTTGTTTGTGGGAGGGAGAGGGCCATTTGCTCGGTTTTGTTTGTTGGAGGGAGAGGGCCATTTGCTAGGTTTTTTTTGGGGGGAGGGCCATTCGCTAGGTTTTGTTTGTGGGAGGGAGAGGGCCATTTGCTCGGTTTTGTTTGTTGGAGGGAGAGGGCCATTTGCTCGGTTTTGTTTGTTGGAGGGAGAGGGCCATTTGCTCGGTTTTGTTTGTGGGAGGGAGAGGGCCATTTGCTAGGTTTTGTTTGTGGGAGGGAGAGGGCCATTTGCTAGGTTTTGTTTGTGGGAGGGAGAGGGCCATTTGCTAGGTTTTGTTTGTGGGAGGGAGAGGGCCATTTGCTCGGTTTTGTTTGTTGGAGGGAGAGGGCCATTTGCTCGGTTTTTTTGGGGGGGAGGGCCATTCGCTAGGTTTTGTTTGTGGGAGGGAGAGGGCCATTTGCTCGGTTTTGTTTGTGGGAGGGAGAGGGCCATTTGCTAGGTTTTTTTTTTTGGGGGGGGGGGGAGGGCCATTCGCTAGGTTTTGTTTGTTGGAGGGAGAGGGCCATTTGCTAGGTTTTTCTGGGGGGAGGGCCATTCGCTAGGTTTTGTTTGTCGGAGGGAGAGGGCCATTTGCTAGGTTTTTCCTGGGGGAGGGCCATTCGCTAGGTTTTGTTTGTTGGAGGGAGAGGGCCATTTGCTAGGTTTTGTTTGTTGGAGGGAGAGGGCCATTTGCTCGGTTTTTTTGGGGGGGAGAGGGCTATTTGCTAGGTTTTGTTTGTGGGAGGGAGAGGGCCATTTACTCGTTTTTTTTGGGGGGGAGGGCCATTCGCTAGGTTTTGTTTGTTGGAGGGAGAGGGCCATTTGCTAGGTTTTTCTGGGGGGAGGGCCATTCGCTAGGTTTTGTTTGTTGGAGGGAGAGGGCCATTTGCTAGGTTTTTCTGGGGGGAGGGCCATTCGCTAGGTTTTGTTTGTGGGAGGGAGAGGGCCAATTTGCTCGGTTTTGTTTGTTGGAGGGAGAGGGCCATTTGCTAGGTTTTTTTTGGGGGGGAGGGCCATTCGCTAGGTTTTGTTTGTGGGAGGGAGAGGGCCATTTGCTCGGTTTTGTTTGTTGGAGGGAGAGGGCCATTTGCTCGGTTTTGTTTGTTGGAGGGAGAGGGCCATTTGCTCGGTTTTGTTTGTGGGAGGGAGAGGGCCATTTGCTAGGTTTTGTTTGTGGGAGGGAGAGGGCCATTTGCTAGGTTTTGTTT